AGATTAAGGAGGGAAGTATAATATTGTCATTAAAATGATAGTTCCCATAAGCAAAGTCTAGTCTTAATAATTTCCCATCTCAGTTTTGAGTTAGCTTTACCAATGCTATTTCATTATCTGTCTTTTCATGAAATCTATTCCCTCAGTTGAGTTTGACCATTGAATTTTGTTTGTAGATCTACAAACATGAACTTGCTAGGTGTTTGTAGAAAGAGACTGCAGAGATTAATAAGGCAAAAGATTAGGAGTAAGGACAGTCTGAGTCCTAATCCCAGTTGAGCCATTTATGGCATAACCTTGGGGAAGTTACTTGACCTTCACGTTTCTCATAAAACTCTGCTGGAAACTGGATACCTCCTGGACCTCAGAGAATAGCAGGCACATCTGTTGAGGTCCTCTCAATTAGCAACCTCAGAATAATGGCAAGTGGGCTTGCATTATGACTGTGGGGTGCTACGCACATAAATACAATTGAGGATTAATGACCTTTCTTTCCTTTCCCGGTAGGGCAAAACTGAATTTAGACAGTGGACTACACACCACACTTCATGTCCAATTGCTGGATATGTCATGAAAAGTATAACGGCACACAGGAGGCAATTAGGCTTAAAAGGATTCCAGCTGTTCCCTTCCACCCAGCATTCTCTTGCACTTCCAGCAAGGACATTTATCAGATTATCTGATTAGAAAGATTAGACTTATGTAGCTAAACTCTGAACTGCCTACATGATGAACTAGTTGCAGTTCATTATTATGGGATCAGTTTCATGCAACTGGAAGAGGCATTCTCTCTGAGAACATGATGAATTTCAACTTTTCAGTATTGTGGAAGTCTCAGCAAAAAGTATCCAAGCAAAGTTTAGGACAAAGGGCATAGCAGGAAATATGCAAAAGAAGGAGGGACCATCTTGGCAAGGAGATTTTGTTAGGGAGCTACTGACAGGTTAGACTAGGATTGGAAACTGTTAAAGCAAATTCAAGAGGCGAACAACAAGCCATGGGCAGGAGTAGCAGGACATTATGACTAGACAAAGATAGTGAGACAAGCAGTCATAGCTAAGGAAAATGAGAGGGAGGAAAATCTTACTGACAAGAACCAGAAGGGGCAGAGAAAAAAAACCTGGAATTGGTACTGTGAAGAAGCTGAGGCAGAAAATTAGAAGCGGTGAGAGTCTGAGACACAGGCAAGTGTTTGTAAGCAAGAACGAAACCACAAGCCAGTGACAGAAATGAGTCAATATGTTGCTGATAGAATGACTCTCATTTGGGGCACTTTTATTGAAGTTGGGAAATCATGTTTTAAAATGAGTCCTTAAGACTCAAAGAATAACATCACTAAAGTGCCTCTAAAACCCCTAGTTTCACTTCTCTGTACAGATGTCCTGTGATGCCACCCTTTTTCCAATTTCAGAGAAGAGCTCACCGTGGATTTGAAATAGGCTGTGTAGTGAAGAAGGACACTGCTTATGAGCCAGGAAATGTGAAGCAGAGAGGACAGGGGATTACAACAATAGGGACAGTTAATGCAGCTGCATATTATGCTGGAGAACACAGCTGTACTCCTGCCTTTTCTAGAAGTCCCCTGGTATGCTAACCAGTCCACCGAAACACCCTCTCGTATCTGTTCAAAATTTCAGTCCTTGTTTTCTGAATAAGACAGAGTCAGTCTCAATGCTGACAAATACACAGCAGTTTAATCTGTTATCCGTACCAATGGGAAACATTGTTAATATGTACAACTGAGCTATCACACAATTCTGGGAAGAACTACTTTCCAATTTTCTCAAACCGGACACTCAACAACAGTTCCAGATGTATCTCCTTTTTGCCCTTCTGTAAGTGAAAGATAATACAACCTAAGTGACTTTGATAAGACAAGTATTAATGAAGAGATAGATGTCATAAACATCAGAGATGCATAAGGACATTCACACTTGTATCTTCCTAAACGATTTAACTAAAGTGCAGTGAACAAGGTACAGGTAAAAGCTTCATACAGAGCAGTGAGAAAGAAACAACACAAGGAATAGCTGTAAATATTGTTCTTCCCATGTGCTGAATGAGGCAAGAGTCCTTTAAGAAAGCAAGCCAGTCTGTTAGCAAGTTTTGGTCAATCCTGTTCCAGGCCGCATTAATCAGTTTTGAATGTCAGAAAGTTAAAATTTTATCTCATGTCATCCAGCTCTTGGATAAAAGGACAAAATGAGCAAACATTTTCTGTTTTTGTGTGCTATTCATGTCACTATCATATTCTTAACCCCTCTTTATGCAGAAAAATCATGGTCCAATTAATTTTTCTTCATATACATAATTGTTTTGCATATACATTCTTTCATTTTCTTATTTAGTATTTTTCCAATAATTCCTAAAATTCTGTCTCTCTTTCAGTGGCTACTCAGCATTAATTTTATACTTTTATGGGCTTGCCTACCAAGTATTCTGAACTATACCAGTATTCATCATCACGTATTTAAAGTCGAGATAGATTTTACCATGTGCAAATATTTACCTTTACAAATATTTACATGAATTTCATTGACCATTTAATCATATGATATTAGCATGAAACCTTTCTGCAACTCTTAACAACAAGCCAGAGGTTCTTTTGACTTTTTTTTTTTTTTTTTTACTCAGTACCATCAGCAAATTTTCACCCTCTTCTGAAACCATTTGTCAATAATGCTCAGTAGCACAACCCCCTTGGGAGGGTTTCAACTTCCCTTTGCCAACAAAACTGACCATTAATTCTTACCACTGCATCTTCACAGCTTCCCAATACCATTATTTACCACTCCCTTTACCATCTTCAAAGCAGGGAGAACAGTTTTTCTGTCACTCTGAGCAGCATGAACTGCATTTCTCAATCTAACAACTAAATCCTCTATGAATCAGTCTTGCTTCGTTCTGAGTTTGATGGGCAGGAAAAGCAGAAAAAGAAGATGCTAAGAAAGCACATTGCATCATCAATAGATGTATCAGGGGCTTGAGACATGTAACACTCAGATAAGCTCTAAATACACGACATATTTGCTTTAGCAGAAGCCAAGGAATAGTTGAGGTAAGTATGCCAATTCTTGTAATATTTCTGCCAAGGAAGAAGTAGTAATCTGAGAATGGTGACATGATATATGAGCAGCCAGATCAAAGTTGCTTCATTTTAGAAGGAAGCAGCAAAGATACTTGTTAAAAAGTTAAAAGAGTGGATACGATTCAGCCTGTCAGTATAAGGTTCATTCCATCCCTTGCTTGAGAATTTAAGGCCAGCCTTTTTATAGGAAGAAGAAAATTATGGGCAATAATGTAAAGTGGAGGGACTTGTTCTCAGCAGTAACAGGTTTACTTACGTTAGATGTGGGAACCAAGTTATCAGGTACTTTTGTATTTGCACTCTGAATTAAAAAAACAAACAAAACCACATGCATACAAGATACAAAGCCAGAAATATTTCAATGTACAGAAAGAATAAGTTAAACACACAAAAAGAGATATAGAAAAAATATGGTATATATTAAGAAATTCCTAATCTCTCTAAAGAAGTGTACGTATTCAGAGAAGAAGTGCTAAGGATGGAAGATCAGTATAGAATAGGTAGTTCTTGTGAGCTGTGATTTTGGCATTCTGGAGTTCAGAAATCCTAGCAGAAAAAACAACATCTACGCATTGTTCTTAAAAATCAAAAAATAGAAACGGAACAAAAACAATAATAAAGCAATCAAAAGTGCCTGCACGTTTTTCCCCCACAGTAGCAATGAGAAATCACATCTTTGTGAACATTTTGCTGATTGAGAACACAGTTATGCAAAAGCTTCTAAGAGCATTTTTGATTCACACAAGTAAAAGCTTGCATGAGTTGCACATTCAGTAACGTAGGTAACAAATTCAGTGCATAATAAGGAAGACTGCAGCCCTGTTGAGCAGTAGAACAGGTTATTTTGGCATCCCTAGCATCGATTCTATTTTGATATGTTGCCAACAATGCAGTTGCAAGCAACTTTCCAAAGCTGCAGGTTGTGATACCCATGTTGCACTCAGCTGGGCAGAATGTCCCTTTGTTTAAAATATTTGAAACAATGGAAAACCAATGATTCCAGAACAGGTCACAGGAAAAACTGGGTCAGCCACACTGCATGAAGGGGTTTGCAAGAGTTTAATGAAAGCGGTGGAAGTTAAAGACTTTGACAGCATGACATAGTTGAATGAGAGAAACACCAAGAGTTTATCAAATTCTTGCAAAACCCTATGGACAGCACGGCTGCAGAACACCTAAGCCATTACATAGGGCTGTTTGCTTTTTTTTGTTGCTGTTTTTTTTGTTTGTTTTGTGTTTGGTTTTGGACAAAGCCTTAGCTCAAAACAGGCATATAACTGTTGCCATGAAACTGCTTCCTGCTGCTTGGTTACTGTATATCTATTGGTTGCAAAAACAGGATGGCACAAAAAACCAAGCACCTTTATCACCACTGTCTTCTAAGAGCAACATACTGCAATACACTGACTATAAGATAACTGCCAAAACATAAGATGGTAGTATGGGGAAGGGATGAAGTAGTTTTCCAGAAATAAAACTGTGAGCTCTGCCTTGGGCATTATGATCAGAAGAAATGAAACTGAGCTGAATGCTTCACAGAAAGGATTAATCAATAAAGTTCTCCTGGAAAACAAGCCTCATTCTATGATGGCATCTCTTCCTTGTTAGAAAGGAACTGCATCTACCCAGGCATGCAGAAAAACCAAGTTGCATCAGTCATTGTTTGAAGCGGCATAGCAGAAGCAGCAGGGTGAACAGTAATCAGCCTGTGCTGAAAGAATTTCTGTAAAATAAGGAAAGTTAAATAAATAAGTAAGGAGTTTATGCCAGCTTGAAGATCACTAGCCATTCTCAGCTACAGAGGTAGTTACACTAATCAGGAGTGCAGCATTTCTCTGCCCCACGGGTAATGATTAGATAAGCAGTGGATCAAGAACAGACCATGCCAAAATGCAGGAATCCATTTATTTAAGTGAAAGTCTTCTACCTAAGGTTACATTGCAAGATTTAATGTGGGCAATTCAATACTAAAATACAAATGAATAGCTCTGGAGATGGAAAAAAATAATAATAATCAGGAGAGATTCATTAGTGAAGCCATTTGATCTTTGTTTCTGCCACAAAATTGTTGTCAGAAGAGAGGACTGTTCCCCACCAGTCTGAGCAAGCCAAGGTGGCAGTGGGAGAAGGAGGCTCTCTCCAAGCTGTCCGGGGTCAAAGAAGATTTTGCCTTGAGTATATTCAGCTGAGATTCTGAAGATTAACTGAAGCAGTCCAATTTATTATGTCACATAGGGCTCGGATTTGCAGGGGAACAGAGACTGTAACAAAGTATTAAGAATGATTTTGCCCTAGAAGGATACTTTGCATTGTAGCTACGAGTTTAAAATAGCTACATTTAGTTCAAGCTACTAAAGAAGATGAAAGCCAGTATTGGAAGAAAATAACTATGGAAACATTAACATCCTGTCATAAAAAGCAATTAAAAAGAGCACCCTGTGAAATGGGCTAGAAATGGAGCTTTCAGTGCACCAAGATTTCAGTGCACCAAGCACAAGGACACTTCGCACTTCCCTTCTCATAGTCTATTTCATCTTGTATTTCACTATCAGAGAAAAAAAAACCTCAATTGCTCTTCAATCACTTAGGTACATGCTATGTTTTCCTTAAGCATCTTGACCTTTTTCTTCCTGTTAACTAAACATGCAGAAAAATTTGCTAAATCCCTATTGATTGAAACTGCTTTATTGCTGCAAGACAACTACTGTTCTATATTTCTAAAGCAGACAAAATTCTTCAGTTCTCCCAGTGTATTTGTTCCAAGGAAACTTGTCATGGATTATGATAAACATGCAGAGATCTAAGTGTAACATTTTAATTCTGGTGGAATGTTGATTCCAGCCTGAAGCCTTATTTACTTCTTGAAAGACTGCATGATTTCCTCTCACCATCACCAGATGATCTTCATGAAGGATATTCACTCTCCCGATGAAATCTACATGCTTTTTTCTCCCACTGTGGAGCTTTGAGATTATGAAGTTTAAAGTGTAGCCAAAGCATTTAACTGTAAATAATAAAAAGTAAATAAATCAGAAACTTACTGGAGATGTGTTTGGCAATGAGTAGGTGAAACTACGCAAAATTTTGCTTGAAGGAGTATAGTCATGATGAAGAGCAAGTTCAGACTAATTCAGAGATACGGAATCAAGGAGATCATGTTTGCCTTGATTTGCACTAAACAAGAAACCAGTGAGCAATTTCCCATTTTTAGTGAAAGCAGTACGTTTTCTACCCTAACTGAACATAAAAGAAATTTCATTTAAAGCAGAAACACTGAAAAAAAAATATAAGAACATGCAGGCAACACATAAACCATAGTTTTCTGAGGGCTCAGCCAGCCCTAACTGCAGTAGAAGAGGTCAGACTGGAGAGGGATGGTGGTGCAGTTTGAACCACAGCTACAATAAAGAGTCATAACCCTAATGAGTAGAATGTTCTCTCTCCATTCCCCTCTCTGAGTGTGGAACAGGACAGTGCAGGAGACATCAGCATGGCAGGAAAGGATTTCTCATCGTCCCAGAACTCTGCCCATCTAATTCAAGTCAAAATATCGCTTCCCACAGTTCCTCTCTTTTCACGAGTTCATTATTATTGATCTGATAGAGTGCTGTCTTCTGAAAGCAGATAAGACCATACAGAGGGCTGAGCTGCTAGTCAGCCTGCGGCATTCTTCATCTCTGGTCCTAGTGTTCCCCCTAGGGGTCAAAGAAAATAATTGTTTCCAAATCTATTCCCATTCGTGCCAAGATAACAAACTGAAATAGGAGTGTGAGTTCTGAGGCACCAGCATGTATGCAAGCTGGTCTTAGGCTGAGATTTATTTACTATAAATTGTCAGGTTGTCATACACATCCGTTTTCTCCAGCTTAACATATCTATCAGCTGAGCATAAGCTCAAGGCTAAACTCAGCTCTGACAAATTTCCAGTTCCTCAAACCTCAGATGGAAGGCTTTTCAGTTTGCTCAGAACACTCATACTTTACAGGTTTCTTTCTCTTTTTCCATATATTCATGCCCCTCTCCCATAACATCCACGCTTTCATGTTCAAGCACTGAAGAGAAAACTAAAAACAAGTACTGTTAACTCAATAAACAAAAATTCATGTTATCAACATGCATTAATATTTATTATTATTATCCAGCTTAAATTTCACTAGATTTAGGAAAGCTGCCCAGCTCTGTTACTAACTGAATGCATAAATTCTAAGAAGACTGAATCTTCTGCTTCTTCCTCGCAGTGATATTGATTATAACATGACTCTCAAGAGAAGAGATAGCAACAGAAGTTCCTTGTTTGATTGCTCTGCTGCTGCTTGGCAGCATTTCACTGTATGCATACCCAATTTCACACACATCCACACAAATACATATGCCTTCTGTTTCAGAGACTCAGTCAGTGGGGCTCTAAGCCACCAGTTTGTCAGCTACCATGAGCAGATGAACTGTGCAGCTTAAATAGACAGGCACCAAGGGGAGTTCCAAAGGAGTTCACCTTAGTATTTCATGGCAACTGAGTTAGATTCTTGGTGACTGGGACTGGAAAAAAACATACATGTACAAACCCAGAAGGCAGAGCCAACAGAAACCTGAGAGTACAGTCTCATACAGTGCTTTCCCAAGCTTTTGGCAGTCTACTTGGAAGTGTAGCTATTTAGTCACAGGCTGCATCATTCAATGATGATACTGGCACCAGCACTAGTTTCTCACCACAGCTTTTCACTAGATCCCACTCAATCTGGGCATCACAGGAGACTTTCCAGGATAAGTGTTTTAAAGCCAACAGAGGTTTACAGCAACACCAGCCTTTTCAAGCCAAGACATGATTCATTAGGAACAAAATCAAATATTTAAGCACATAGTTTAAGTGTTCAAAAAAAAAAAATCCTCATAGCCTAGCCTGCCTGTTTTCCCTGGTTCAGTGTGGCTCCCTAAACTCTGCTTGGAATGCAGATACAAGTCTTCAGGGGCAGCCCCATGCCCTGAGGTCTGACAGACTCATCAGCTCTTAGAGTCTCCCTGATCAGTGCCCATTATCTTTAAAGGGACAGAGATGTTATTCTCCAGAGCATACCACAGCCTCCCTGCTCACATATTGGCAGCTCTTGCTCAGTCATTTCTGCCAGATTAGGCGTGATTCAGTGATTCTCAACCAGTCCATTCAATTATCTGGGGAGAGGCCAAACCACTGAGATCAAGAGTCAGCAATTTTTAATTTAGTGGGTATTTGAGTCACACACCACTTTCCAAAAACATCTTTCCCTGCTCTTAGACAGCTGCCTCAACTTTCAGCCTCATTTAATTTTTTTTTAATTGAAGATGTGTCAATCAGGAAAAGATATGTCTTCAAAACTTTTAGAACTCTGGCTAAAAAAAGATTTAAAATTCTGGCTAGTCTTAGATATTAGAATAACACCAATGAATGTATATTCTTCCAGTCCTTCTGTTAGCTCTGAAGAATCCCAAATTATCAAGACTCCAAAACAATATTGACAGCTTCTAAAAGTGTGTTTGGTAAAGCATTCCTTGATTTCACAGTTTAGAAGACTGACACAGAATGTAGTTTCAACAGAGGCAAAAGAGTATCAAAATCATGGTGACAAATGCATAAAGGATATAATCATAATAGCTAAATCCATGAAAAACTGGCAATTCTCCACTGCTCTTCAGCTGAAATGAGTAATCACAATGGCACATTCAAAATGGCTAAAAATGTTAGTAAGGTTCAGTTGGTAGAATGACCACAAGATTAAAGAATTTACCACTCCACTCAAGTACGAAGATGATCCTGAACTTAAGGCACTTCCATGCATTCTCAGAGTTAAATCACTTCCATTTCTCTTAAGACATCGTTCTGTATATCATAACACCATTTCAAGTGAGGTTCACTTCAAAATACTTTGTGTATAAACAAACCTGACAGGCTTCTTCATGGCAACCACTCTGTTACATTCTGTCCACAGTAGGTAGAAGATAACTGACTTTTCTTTCAAAATTGGGCAAACAGTTTCATACCACATTATACTTCCTAATTTAAGAGCCCACAAAGACTGTTATTGCAAATGACCTGTTATCTATCACAGATGCCTATTCAGCACCTCTAAGCTGACCCTTGGAACTTAACTCCGTAAGAAGCATACATACATTTTTGTCTTTGATTTTTGTGCAAAGGGCAGTTAACATCAACATCCTGTGAAGTAAAACTTGCTTTTATTTCATTCCCATTATTCTCAGTCCTAAATTACTCTGAGACAGTGTGGCTTTGTTTTCTGCACATAACATCTTCACTTAAAAGAAACTTTGTAGGTTGCTCCAAAAGTAATGCCTACTATGTATTTCCATAGAAACTACAGCAGATACAAAAAGCACAATACTACTTGACAGAGCAAGTTTCCAGCTACAAAACACTGTCTTTCAACATAATCATCACCATCAGCTAAGCATTATTGCCACTAATAAATAAGAGCCTGCATGCTGCGCTCACATGCATCTGTAAGAGCAGAGATGACCAGCTGTTGCCACCACTGAAACCCACCATGCACTGCCTCACCGTGCTCACATCCAGTGTTTGATCTCCATAAGTATTCAGCAAGCATCACTGAATGTGATGGGTGCAGTTTTTTCTGCATGGAGGAATTCAATGACACATCTTTGCTTCATACACATTTCCATATCAGATGCCATTGTGTCAGACTGCCCCTCTGCTGTCATCTGTCACACAGCAACAACATGTAATGGAATATTGGCAGTAAGGTTCAGCTTCTACTGCCATACCACCAACATCAGCCTCTGGTGACACAGGCCAGACATAATAACACTGGAGGCATTACTTTGAGAGCAGCCCTTGTATCATATCCACATATTCATTTACCCCGATTTTTTTTGCTAACAATACCCATTGTCTGCTTTTAAGATACATAAACATAGTTAGCTTCTGAGATAGAATATAATTCTACACATAGGCTTAGAAGCTTTCCCTTAGTAGGAATAAATCCTTAGCAATGAATAAGAGTTAGGAAGAGACCTCTGGTTTTGTTTTTTGCTTTTTAATATATTGTTTCCTCCTTCTGTATAAACCAGGATGTCCCATGAATACTACTGAAAGAGCAAAATCACTAGGTGTGATTGCAAAATTAAAGGGCAAGTGGCAGTACTAGATTTGACAGCTCTATAAACAGAAACACTTCATTTACCAAGAAGAGGGCCAAAGCAAGTACAGCAGATTTCAGCTCAGTGCCTCCATTACTCCTGGGCAGAGTATCACACACAGGAATCACATCAGTTCTGGCAGCAGCCCTTACCCACGCTCTTCTGAAATGCCAGTCCTCACAGCAGCCAGAAGCATGACATTCTCCTAAATCCATTGGCTTCATATTGCAAACAGCCTATGGCAGTTAGTGTAAGTGAAGTTGGTAACTTACTGAGGATATGGGATATTAATGCAATGCAGAGCTGTAAGCTACATGGAGGAAAGCAGCAACACCTGACTTTCCACCAATAATTCCTATCCTGCATCACTCCTGATGGTGGAGGTGCCTGATTATTCAGACAATGAATATATTCTCTGTATCCTCAAAACAGCATGTATACATAACCATTCACTCTTCAGCTTTGGAAGGAATTTGTTTTCTTCAATTATATCATTAATATTCCAGATAAATAGGTTCTGTCTGATAAACAGCTACTCACATGACAGCTATTCTCACAGCAGGGAACAGGAATGGTACCAGAACTACTCCTGGTGCATGAGGCACTGAAACAAATTGTCCAGTAAAGACTGTACACATTTTGACAACTATAAAACAAATTTTTTCAGTGTCAAATTTTTCAGTAACTTTGGTGGGAACAGAACTGTTATGGTAACCAACCTCAAACTTTAAAATATGTATTACTATTATCAAATTAAACCTTGGTGATATGTTCATGACATATTTAAAGTATGGTAATACAGACTTTGAATATATTGCTTTTTATTAACTCCACTCTTTTCCAGCCAGTTGGCAGCAG